TGGCAAGATTAAAAAGAAATGTTATATTGATTGATAATTTCGTTCAGTCTCTTCATTCGTTTTGTACTTATTGCTTTAATTCCATAGCAAGAGGTCTATAATTACAAGTAGGATATACAAGCGAAATACAGTAAGCGTAAAGTGATTTTATTCCAACAAATATTTAAAAAATAAGAGATTCCGTATATTTTTTTCTATTAATCGAATCAACCGAATGAATCCTGGCGAATCATTCAGCGAGAGACTGGATTCTCCAATCCTTCCCTTTTCCTCCCACCTTCCTAGGATAACAACGCGAGGATCTTGAATCTGGTCCATCTTAGCCGTGACTTTTGGGCATCTCTTGCCTCGGACACCTGCGAGAATCCGGCCGACAAGATGAAAAGAGGGGTCGATGGGGCCATTGGAGTCGGGGGAAAGGGGGGGGACCGAGAGGGAAGGGAGAAAAAGGAAGGATACGCTCGGGGGGAAAAAGAAGGCTGAAAAAAAAATACGACGCATCCCGCGGACGGGGGTAGACCGGTTCGTCTGGTCCTTGATTTGAAGCCAAGAGAGTATCCTCCTTCGTTTTTTTCTTCTTTATCTTTACGCTTCCCCTCTGCCTCGACCCGCATCCCGCCCGCCGTGGCGTCCTCTTCCACCGAGGGAACCTCTCTGTCGCCGCCACTGTCGCCATCACCATCGTTTTCGCTCCGCTTTTAAGGGCGTTGCCTGCTACCGTCTCGGTGGTTGCAATGCGCATCCCGTGAGATTTATATTTACCCTCTCGCGACACACGAAGCTTTCCTCTAATTGGCTTGGTGGGCTCCCCTCGCTTCGCGCAGTTAAAAATGTCGCCCCTGCTGAGCGGCGAAAATGAAGGGGTTAATTGTAAAGTTTAAAGATGAAGCAGAGCAATTCTTCAGGATTAAAAACTTTGGAAAAAAAAAAACTGTATTTTATCCACGTAAACTTATTGCAGATAAAACTAAGATGTATATAAGAAATGCTACTTATGCCGCACAGAATGTTATTTGACAAAATATCCATCATCTAAAAAATATTTGTAAATCTTTTTAAACTTGTTTAATTTTTTTAAATTATTTAAAAACTTTTAATTTTTAATGGCTTATGCGTTACAAGTTATTAATATCTTATCATTGTAAAAGTGCTATTCCCTGTAGTTTTCTAACATTTATCATCGAGATCAGATAAGTGACATTAATTCTGTAACGTGTATTCATTGTTTCTTTGAGAAAGCAATATTGCCGTAATAGTTTCCGTAAAAACATCTATCTCGCCGTATAACGGACGCATTTTATTCTTCGTGTAATTAGAGAACGCGCTAATTGCGTCGGTTGCAAGAGTAACAGCCCATTCCCACTGGATCTCCGTACACGAAAACTGACGCGATTGCATAAACCGCGTTGAAGAAAGTGTCAAGATGGAGATGTAGCAGGGAGTCGGCTCGCTATTCAACGTTTCGCACGTGAAACTCAACGTTTCGCCCGTCGTACCCCATAATTATATCGCGGGCTTTTCGTGTACAGTTAATTCGTCCGCATCGCGGAGAAAGAGGCTACTTAATTGCTGCGTCCATTTCATCCTGCATTTCGCGTAAATATGCATGCCGCGCGGGCGCGGGCGCGCATACGGTGATATGCAATAATAACTTTATGACGAGCGAAAAAAAGAGGAGCGTATTAAAGCTTTATTAGCGTTTTATGCATTTTATACGCGTCGCGAGATCTTTGCCGTTAAGCGCTAATGATATACATTAAAAGGACTGAATATTTATAAATACAAACGAGCCATTAACATCTTTAATGGTCATCCGTTTACGAGCAATTGCGTTATATACCGGATAAAACTTACTGTGTAACGTTGACCCATCCTATTTTCTGTGTCTCATTTAATTAAAAAGTAATTGGAAAGTGGCGTTGTAATTAGTTCCGGAACGATCGATTATTTCGCCCATCAATATTTATCGATCATTATGTAGGCACTTATACAGATTTACGTGGTAGAAAAGGTGGCGAAAAATTCGCAGTTAAATGTATGGGACATTTTACGCAATGTATGGGACAGTTAACGAACGATGTTAAGTCGCACATTTAAGAATATAAGAAGCAGACATAAATAATGATGGAAAGTTATATTGATTTTAAGATATACTTGATTGATTTAATTTCTTTCTGAATAATAATTTTTCTTGACTTTCTTGGTAGCCTTCCGCTTTTAAAGAGAAGGAGAGAAAACAGCACGAAAGTCGCTGCGTATCTTAAAATAGTATCTAATAAATAATAATAAATATTATAAATTTATTGCCTCCGGAAATTGCAGCGACGTATTTGGTGTTCAAACTGAGAGCTAACGAATAGTCTCGTCCGTCGGTGCTCGACCAATTAACCGGGATTTCTCCGTTTGCGCTTTCCCGCCTCCGAAAATCTTTTATTTGTTCTATTCCACGTAACAGATCTTCCTGGAATAAAAGGCGAAAAGCTAGTCGCCGCACTCCTGGAAAAGCGGCAACCGTATCTCCGCGGTGTTTCGCAAGTTTCTGCGGTTTAAAATTAAGCTCGGGCGCGGAACGAGAGGGCCTGCGTGGCGAATATAACGTATGCGCATTCGTTACACCCCGGCGAACCTATTCATGCATTAATTCATAAAATATTTTGTACCGCGGGACGAATACCGGATTACATGACTCATAGTGCCCCGCGATTAGAGCAATGATAATCGGCGAGCTCGTGTTGTTCCGATACAAAAGGATCTTCGGATTGCACCGCGAAGAAACGTAACGAGAAGATCGCGGGAAAGATCTCGAGACGTTTCTCTGAAACGCACAGCGCACACTTGGTTTTAAAGATACTAAATACTGCATTTATGGGTATCAAAATTAAATGCTCAATAATTTCAAATTACCTAAAAGTTGTGTAATAACTAATTGTATAGTAATTAACAAATTGACAGCAGATACTATTTTTCAGATATCTGATGATACTAATACTAAAAATATATATTATAGCCGCTTAATATGTGTTTTCCAATATTTAATTTAAATAAAGAATATGTTGGTTTAGCAAGTATAATTTTACATAGTTTAAATATTAACTATATACATATCACATTTAGCTGTCACTTTATCAGATGTAAATAATATACATAGAGAGCAATACAATTATAAATAGCAAAAATTATAAAAAGAGGTAAAAGGATTTTCGAGATTTTTTTCCGGAGAAGAAATTAGAAATTATAATTGAAAATATGAGATACATGAGAAAAATATAATTACATTAATCTATGCAATCGTGTGTACTAATTAGAGCCAACTTCAGAATCATCTACTGCTGGACACTATATAGCTTTAGCCACCGATCATTCATCGATACTTTACGTTACCTCTCTGTATATTATTTTCCAAGTTTATCAAGGCAAAGGTATGCGATTCCTCCATCGTCGATCGGTTTCGATAGGCACGGAGTCATGCGATTCATTCATGAAATCTTGCGACATGCTCGCGCCACGTTATACACGCTCGATTACATAAAGGCGTCCCGAACGAGTGCCTCGCATAGGTGCGTTCGCTCGTGACGTTGCAACTACCAGTCTCGCGGTGTGCAGTAGTGCTACCCACATTAGCAATGGTAGCGCATTATAGTGCGACGATAGTGAGTGCGGTGCTGTGTCTGTCTGTACAACGGTGGTGGGCACACAAGTAGGACAGCACTTTCCCTGAGTAGATTGCTCGACTCGTTCCTTAAGCGAAATCCGCTCCGACAGATTTGAGAATGGTACACAAATGCAATTCACAAAGAATGAGTCTCTTAATGATAATACAATAGTAAAAAAAAGTGTCTCAGTAATGAAGAGAACTCGCGGCAAATAGGAGCCAAACTGCAATGTTGAAGGCGATTGAAATAAGTTTAGCAGTGTTTAAATCTCTTTCAGGAAACGTATTAGCTGTATCACGACACGCGTATTTATGTTTTTCAATTGATTGTTAGGTTTCTCTATTATCTAATTTTTTTTTCTTTTTAAAATTAATAATAATTAAGAGTATAAATGTGAAATTTTTATAGAAATAAATTCGACTTTATATTTATTTTTGTCACATACATTTTCGTACTATTATATTTCACATATTCTATAAAAATAGGGTACGCAGCTACACCCCAGGACAAATTAGTTAATGAAGAGAAGATTTCTTACTGTGAATATACCCTTAAGTTTCATTATGAATGTATACACGTACACGCGTCGGCATGCGTGATGGTGGGTAAACACACGTGTACCGGGCGAGAACGAGAGTTGCTTTAAAGCTCGAGCAGATTCGATGTAATCGACCCTTTCGTCGTGGGAAACGGTTACTTTTTCTTCCGACTGGCTGAACACAACTTCGCACGAGAAACCATTTTTATCGCTCAGCCTGTACGCCATTAAATGCCTCGTTCCAGATCTCGGTAAATGAATTGAGGAAAGGCGTCTCGTTCTGCCGTGCTAATATGAATTTAAATGTAATACATTATACGTTTCCCTGTCGGACTTAAAAATGTAATTTGTCACAAACCACTAACTTACAGTGTTAATTAAATTTAAAACATATGCGCTCAATGTATATTTTAATTACACTAGAACACCATTGGCGCTCACGCAGCAAATTAGAATTCTGCAATTCCAAAATATATACTTTTAAGAAATTTAATTTTTAAATTTTTAATCTAAATTTTGTATTCCAAAAATTTTAATTTTCAAGATTTAATTTTTAGAATTTTAAAATTTAAAAAATGTTTTTGAGTTTAAATTAAGATTTAATTAATGAATATGAATTCTTAACGCTTATTAGCATCTATTGATAAACTTACACACCATTAATTCATTCGTCATACGAATTGTCAAAACATACGGTGATAGCAGTTCACGATACGAAATGACGTACGATATATATATATATATATATATGCATCGGGCATATATATATGACCGAGCATCGTTAAAAAAGACCTCTTCTAAGCTAGCAGGACCAAATCGGCAGAATCAAACCGGACCTATCAGAATAATTAGTACCCATTTTGTACTAATTTGTACCACTAATAACAATTTTGTATCCCGTGCCATTTCGGAGAAAATCGTGGCGGTGCTACCTTAGCATTAAGCTAGAAAGACCACAAGAAAAAAAAAGAAAAAAAGAAAATTAAATACAGAAATTTGAAGGACTGAATTTGTACTAATTTGTACCATACAAATAAACTTAATATACATATATTTATCCCTTCTACTAAAAAAATAACTCACCGGCCGATGCGCAACAGCGGAGTTGTAATTCTGCGTTGATCTGTAACAAAAGAAATATTTTTATATTAAAGCTACGTCCAAGATAATCGACAGTAAATAATTATCGAAGTAAATAATTATTGCCCGTTTTTAAAACATTATTTTAACAAATATCTAATTTTAAAATGTAAAAAACAATTGCGGCCGCCGGCAATAAGCGGCTGGATATTTCCGTGTTAACTAGTTAACTAATTCATCCGCGAAAAATTGTGCAAATAATACTGCGACCGTGCGAATAAGAGAGAGACGTGACGTTCGCGACGTAATATCTCGCATACGCCGGAGATCAGACTCGACCCGAAATTGCACCGTAGTTAAAAACCACGAAAGTGGCGGAGCCCACCACAGAACTGACAGGACGGCAAAATATAATATATAAGAAAATTAACAACTACTCACCCCACGGTCGCTCCGCCGTCGCCCGATGCCTCCCAGGCCCCGTTCTCCTCTCCTCGATCGTCCTCCGTTACTCCGTTGGTCCTTGGTCCATTGTCGCACTCACTCACAACGCGACGACGTTCACGAGCGAAAATCGACGATATCGTCGATATCGTCTCCTCTTATGATCGCGCGACACTAAAGGCACACGGCACTCCCGGTATTAATCTCGCGACGCGGTACTAAGAAACTTAGTTACACGGCGACAAAAGAATTACGTGGAATTACGTCGCGGTCGAAGAAACTACGAACGAAACTATACGATCCGCTTGACGTCCATGACGCCATGACGCCGCACCGTGACATCCCGCGATTCCCGCGCGCAGGTAGACACGACAAGTGAAGCGAAGGTGGCGGAGAGAATTTCGTAAATCGCGCACGGCTAACTTCACTCGCCCGGAGCAACTGTCTCGAGAACGCGATTACGCGACTTTGATTAACTACGGATTATCCGAAAAAATGTAATCGAATGCGATATACCTCGGTATCCGTATAAATTCCTCGAAGCACATGAATTAAATGAACTTTCGATATATGTATCACAGTTTTTCGCAAGCTAAACAATCGGACCCGGCGACTCGTGTATTTACTCCGCGATATATGCGATATGGGAACATTGGGAACGGGAACTGGGGCGCGTCTGACGTCAGAACAGGTCACGGGCGTCGCGGTAAACATGAGTAGTGGGGATAGAGTGGGGGTAAGGTGAATACACACTACACACGGTGCGCGGTCGCCGCCTCGCCGCCGGTGGGTTAGTTCGGTATGCCGGGTATGCGTATCGCATAAAGCCTACCCCTCTCTATCCCCACTGCTCATGTTACCAAGGCGCCCGCGGCCCGTTCTGATTTCTGATGTCGTTGCTCGCGGATCGCACATCGCAGAGTAATATAAGTACGAATCGCCAGGTCCGTTTATTCAGATTACAGAAAAATGTGATGCATCGAATGTTCATTTAAGGCCGGTTCTAATACAATCAGTCGTATGTCACCTATGTCGGATGGCCCAATGAGAGAATTTCTTTTTCGATAACGAATTTTTCTCATTGGACCATCGGTTACGTTCCGAAAGCAATCAAAGCGAACGCAGCCTATAATAAGTGTAATGAAGTACGCGCCGCGTCCGTGTCGTGAGATTAATACCGTGGAGTGCCGTGCCTTTTTAGTGTCGCGCTATCATGAGAGACGATGTCGTCGATTTTCGCTCGTGAACGTCGTCTCCATGTTATCGTCTATCTGTGGGACAATGGACATCGCGGCACGGGCCGACGGGTGTCGAGCGGATCATACAGCTTCGTTCGCAGCTTCTTCGTCGTAATTTTTCCGTTGCCGCGTCGCGAGATTGATGCCGGGAGTGCCGTGCCTTTAGTGTCGCGCGATCATAAGCGACGATATCGGTCGATTTTCGTGAACGTCGCGAGTGAAGTGACGCGACGCCACGCCACGGTTGCTTTTGGCGGGTGAAGTTGGCCGTGCGTGCGATTTACGAAATTCCGCCATGTTCGTCTACCTGCGGGAGATCGCGGCACGGGCCGACGGACATGGCGTCGAGCGGATCATACAGCTTCTCCGCCGTAATTTTTCCGTTGCGTCGCGAGATTAATGCCGGAAGTGTCGTGCAAAGTGTCGAAAATATCGCGCGATCATAAGCGACGCGATCTTATCGTCGATTTTCGTGAACGTCGTGAGTGAATAGTGAGTGCGCCAACCGGCCAACGGACCAACGCTGCAACGGAGAAGGACCTGGCGAATCGTGGAGAGGAGGAGGAGGCCTGGGGAGGCATCGGGCGACGGCGGAGCAACTGTGGGGTGAGTAGTTAAATTGTTATTCGTCTATTACTTTGCTGTCTTGTCAGTCCTGTCAGTCCTGTGACGGAATATCCGCCACTTTCTCAAGTGCGCAACTTTTGATTCGTCCATTACATGATATTCGTTAATTAGATAATATTATCTTGGACACCTATTTTAATGTAAACATATTTTTATGTTACAGATCAACGCAGGGTTACAACTTACAACTCCGCTGTTGCGCATCGGCCGGTGAGTTATTTTTTAGTTTAATGTTTTATTACGCAAATCAGTGTTTTTTCCGGTTCCGGTTTATTAAAATTTTTTTATTTGAAATTTATATTAAATTAAATTATTTACATATTATTAGCTTTTTATTTAATGATTTACTTTTAATACGTAATTATGATAATAATTGTATCAATAATTATGTGCAAAACATTAATGGACTTTAATTTAAAATTATATATCTATTTTTCACATATATTTTGTATTTTGACAATTAGTAGTTTTGAGTAATGAGGAGGGGAGGAAAGTGGCTGACCACTTTTATTTACATAAATTACAAAAATATTTTTTAAGCTCTAGAATCCATCCATTTCCGATCCTATCCTTTTCAAGGCAATAGATTATAATAATATATGCGCAACTTACAGTTTTTTCCGGTTTCGTTTTGTTAAATTTTTCTTGAAATTTTTATTAAATTAAATTATTTACATATGCATACTGCGTGTGCCACTGTAAAGTTGGCACTTTATATTTTTAAAAATGATCGTCTGGATGTATCTTCCAGAAGAAACCTTTCCCCAGCTTTTTTTTCTTTATTTTAATGAATTTTTGACTCAATGTCTTCCGTACAGAACCTTGCCAGCTTTTTTTATCCGCGGTTCTATAATACGGGTAATGCTGCTCAATGATATACGAATATAGATGCCATTCAATACTTAATAAAGGTTTCGATTTCTGTTTCCGTTTTCTAGCTAACAAAAGTATCGGTATTGCACAAATTATACATTTTTATCGGTTCCGGTTTATTAAAATTTTTTTATTTGAAATTTGTATTAAATTAAATTATTTACATATTATCAGCTTTTTATTTAATGATTTACTTTTAATACGTAATTATGATAATAATTGTATCAATAATTATGTGCAAAGCATTAATGGACTTTAATTTAAAATTATAGATCTATTTTTCACATATGTTTTGTATTTTGACAGTTAGTAGTCCTGAGTAATGAGGAGGGGAGAGAAGTGGCTGACCACTTTCATTTACATAATTTACAAAAATATTTTCTATTAGGCTCTAGAATCTATCCATTTCCGACCCTATTCTTTTCAAGGCAATAGATTATAATATATGCGCAACTTAGTTTTTTTCCGGTTCCGTTTTGTTAAAATTTTTTTGAAATTTTTATTAAATTAAATTATTTACATATGCATACTGCGTGTGCCACTGTAAAGTTGGCACCTCATTTTCAAAAATCGTCTGGATGTATCTTCCAGAAGAAACCTTTCTTTCCCCAGCTTTTTTTTCTTTATTTTAATGAATTTTTGACTCAATGTATTCCGTACAGAACCTTGCCAGCTTTTTTTATCCGCGGTTCTATAGTACGGGTAATGCTCAATGATATACGAATAGATGCCATTCAATACTGAATAAAGGTTTCGGTTTCTGTTTCGGTTTTCTAGCTAACAAAAGTATCCGAATTGGGCAAATTACAGTCTTTTCGGTATTAATTAAAAAAAATTTTTTTATTTGAAATTTGTATTAAATTAAATTATTTACATTTAGATTTATATTTAGAATCGGTACTTTATTTGCCCCAAGGGGCCTTAAAGGGCGTTTTTAAGGAACGTACCCAAATTTTTACATATTCTCTATTCTCATAAAAGAAACACCTGGCCATTGTGCGACTTCACAAATTAACACCCACCCTCCCTTTCTCTTTACATATTTCTAGGACCTAGACCGAACGAAAATATCGGTTCGGTTCCGGTTTCGGTTCATTAAAATACTTATTTATAAAGGTTTCGTTTTCGATTTTGGTTTTGTAGCTAATAAAAGTATCGGTATTACGCAAATTAGTTTTTTTGATTCCGATTTATTAAAATTTTCTTAATGAAATTTTTATTAAATTGAATTGATTATATAATAAGTGATGATATTTCGACGTATAGATGTTACTTCATTGTTTTCTATGTTTTCATCTTCGGGTCTTAATTTTTTTAAGATGTAATGATTTTTAACGATACCGGTTTTGATTTCAGTCCTATTGGTTTTACAAAATTTCCATACGGTTTTTGTTTCAGACAATGCGTTTTCATTATTTTAATTATTTTTAATTATTTTCATAACTTGATTTACACGATGCAACACAAATAAAATATTTTATAAAATTATTTATTTAATAATTGTAGTTGTTCACCAATCAATTCCGATTATTATGATGTAATGGTATCAAAATATTAAATATGCAAACAATTAATTATATAATGTAATAAAAAAAATTTACTCACTAGCCGTTGTTTCGTCGCAGTCGGTTGGTTCCGCCACTGCTTCAACACCACACGGCTAACCTGGGGGCTAACCATATTCGTGATGTTGTCACTTACGACAGTCCATCGATCTCACATGGCACTTCTAAATTTCACAAACACGTTATACTTTCACAAGTGCAAAGTACGATTATTCCGATCGAATGATTCTGATCGTGACGAGCGCGAAATAAAATTTTACGAGACGGTTTTGTCGAAAAAATTCGACGTTGGTTCGACGGGACGCCGCATATTTTTTCGAGAGAAAACGACGTCGCGTTTTACGGCGCTGGTTTTGATTTCTTGCACAGTCTTCTCGTCTTCCCAGTATTTGGCGAACACGAAGCAGTTCAGATTTTCATCTAAATCTGACTGATAGCTTGCGATCATTACATTTTATTTTTTCGAAATAATATAATTTGACCCAAGTTTATGACCAATGGCAAAAGTGGTTTTCAAAAACTCAAATGATAACTTAAAAAATAGAAATCTACAATAATATCATTTATCTAAATTATTTTAATACACTCTTAAGCATGTGTCGTCAAAAATTGGAGGTACACGTTGAAATAAAAACCTTACGTAATTACGAGGGACATAATTACCATCAAAAATAGAAGGGAAGATGGTACCTCGAAGCCAGGAAGTACATTACGTAGCTACAATTTTTGGCGACACATGCTTAAGAGTTTACATACCTGCATTACTTGTTTCTTCCAATTTTTTATCAAATAACGGATACATGTTTTGTCGGTGGATGACCACATTATATACACAAAATAAACGATTCTGCTGCTGCTGCTGCTGCTGCTGTATCACTGTCTAATTTGCGAATGTATTCCATGCATTCGCACTGTGACTCCCGGCACGCACCGCAAAATACTCCGCGAATGTCACTGCTTGTGAATATATTTATATTTATGTTAGTTGCGTAAATAATATAACAGTCGTATAAAACGGTCTAAGAATCCTTTGTTCGAGCAACGATATGACACGTCCGCGTCGATGTCACCTAGTGGCTATGCCACTGCTATTCGCGAATGTTTTTTGTTCAACAAATGTCGCGATCATGCATGGTTGACGCCGAGTACCTCGTATACGAGGTACGTATGTAGGAGGTACATTTGTACGAGGTACATATGCACGTACGAAGTATGTATGTACGGGGTACATACGGGAAGCCCCCTAAAAAACTGTACCTCCTAAAAAATTGTACCGTGAATTTATAAGTGCGGTGCCTCCAATCGGTACCTCCTCCTTTATCAGTACCTCGTGTGTATTCCGTACCTTGTGCTATACTGTACTGGGAAAAGTATCTCCTAGCAGTATGTAACTTGAAATGTCATTCCATTTAGAAATTAGTACCTCGAATTTGGAATTTGGAGATACTACGCGGTACATG